ACAGTCTCTAAATTCTAAATGTATCCATAATTAGCCTGGATGCTTTTCTTTTGTCTAATCCTCTGTTCGAGGTTTACTCTGCAACAAACAGTTTCTTTTCACAACACCTGTTAGCTTCTGCACACTGCAGCAGTCGCTGTTCTGGCTCCTGAGTAAAAACATAGACAGGAAAATGACAAAAGTGCTGTTGTGTTTTAATGGTGGTATGGTTTTGTAAGTGTTTTGTATGCCGGTAGTAGAGCAGTGGCCTCCTTCACTACACCAAAGCTCTGAACGTATCAAAACACAAGAATGATGACACCAGCAGTGACCCATCCTTTTCACTTCACACACATTTACTCCACACACACACACTCACAAACATACACACACACCATAACCACACCCTCTCTTTCTTTCATCCAGCAGCTCATTCACACATGCTGCTGAACCACAAATTGTACACACAGACCCACAAACACAAACAGTAGAGAGATGACACCCTCTCTGTCTTTCTCTGCACCACAGAATCACTCTCTCTCTCTTTCCCCTCTATCCTCCTCTCCCTCTCTCCATCCTTCTCTCCCTCTCTCTATCTTTCTTTCCCTCTGTTGGTTTTTCAGCACAAACACTTCACACACAGTTGTACAATGAGTGCTCTATGTTTGCATTGTACTGCAGTGCTTTGTCTTTGACCACCATCACACATCTCTCTCTCTCTCTCTCTCTCTCTCTCTCTCTGTCTCTGTCTGTCTGTCTGTCTGTCTGTCTGTCTGTCTGTCTGTCTGTCTGTCTGTCTGTCTGTCTGTGTGTGTGTGTGTGTGTGTGTGTGTGTGTGTGTGTGTGTGTGTGTGTGTGTGGCTCGTCCCTCCTGCTGTAGACACAGTAGACTTCAGGCAGGGAGTGTCCCGGTCTCTAGGGTGCTGTATCTGTAGAGTTATGATGCTGAGACACACAACATGGCTCGAATTGTAAAAATGATGGCAGGGATGCTGAGCATTACTTTATTTCTGCAGTGATGTATTTCTAGGGTTTAGGTGTGATAGTTTTAGAAAGCTTAAAAGTTAAAAGTTATTGGAAAATATATCAAGTAAACCAGGTATCAGAAGAGCTGACTTTTGCAACATTCCTGTCCTCTTTTGTCATCCTCCTCTCCTTTTGAGATCTACATTCCCATCAAAATGCTCAACAAGAAACTCTTTCTCTCCTTCTGTTTCACACTTGTTTTTGCATGTGCTATCCACCACTCTGTATCAATGCTCACACCAACTCACATGACGACTACATGCTCTCTGTCGCCTCCATATCCGCCCGATCCATCCATCTGTCTCTCTCCCAGTGAGCAACAATTGAGGAAAATATACAACAGCATCCTGATATAGTTTTAAAGAAAAATGTCTGACTAAATGTGGAACAAACAACAGGTTACACATCCTGTTAATGCTCGACTTACAGAAAGGAGAATATCATGAAATCATTTGTCATTTTTATTGGGTTTTTTTATTGGTGCCTAGCCTCTATGATTCATTATTTCCTCTTGTTAAAAAAGCTGCTTTTATTTTGATAGGGTTTGAAAGGCACTTCTGTTCAATTATAAAATCTAAAATAGAGAAAAGCAGCTGGAAGAGCAGCAAACAACGGAGCAAAAAGGCATATAAAATGGATTCATTTTACGAGGTGAGAGTGATCCTGAAGCCCAACGCTGATAAAGTCACTGATAGTCTCTTTACAGTCATGTATTTTAAAATGCATCAGGGTGTGAGTGTGTGTAGATGTCACATCGTACAGAGCAGAAAGGAGTACATGTGCACAGTAGTGGACAGTAACCCCGGGATACCAGTAACTGACCCTTAGATTAATGATCCCTGTGCACTGCTGCACAGCCACAAGATCTGATAAATGGCCTGGTTTTTAAACTGTGATCCAGTTTGTTGCTATCTTTCTGCATATGTGCCACTCGGCTCAGCATTTTCAATGCTGTGAGATTTAGACGTTTTGCATGTAACAAGAGTTGCGTTAGCTTGGTAGCCAGTCTGGTAGTGTTGTTTAGCTTACACATAGCATCTGAAGCAATTTACAGTCTCCCCAAAGAATTCAAGTCATGTTGAGGTATTAAGCAAGAGGAACTTTCTGGAAGTCTGCCTGTCTTTACCAGCTGTCAATTCATTAGTTGGTGGGCTGATTAATCGGGGTGATTCATGGCCTTTTAGCAAAAAGTCTGCAAAAAAAGCTGAAGAATCGAGCACCAAAAAGGCAACCATTTTTCAAACCAAAACAAAAGCTGTGACCAATAAACTCAATTGTTGAACTAAATGTATTCTTGCAAGCTTGATCTGTACTGATTTTCAACTCTCTAGTGAGGTATCATGACACTTGTAGTGATTAGACTAGGGGTGGGCAATCATGTGCCATGGAGGGCCGAGAGGCTGCAGGTTTTCTTTCCAACCCAAAACTCCACCAGGTGATATCACTGATTACTTTACCTCCAAACTGATTAGGGACTAATCAGTGAAATCACCTGGTGGAGTTTTGGGTTGGAGAGAAAACCTGCAGCCTCTCGGCCCTCCATGGCACATGATTGCCCAACCCTGGATTAGACAGACTTGCCACTTGCGGAACAACGCCACTGGCGACCTTTGAGTTCATGTGAGACATAGAGGAGCACCTTTAACTGAGGGTTTCTGCAGTTTCTGCAACCAGCAACCATTACTAATAAGCTATCAGGCTCCTTCATACAACATGTGAGGTTTCATCAAGCACCATATGAGGGATATTATTGAACTCCTCCTCGTGTGATGTATGTGTGTGTGTGCATGTGAGGCAGATAGAGAGCAGGAGGCAGAGGAGAAAATTGTTTTCTGAATTTCTGAGTGTGCATGTGTGCATTTGTGTGTCTGCTATTTTTGTTTGAGTGTGTGGCGAGTGCATCTGCGACTCTGATCTACTTGCTGCTCTTCCAAACAACTTGGCACAGATGCTCAGTGTGTGTTTCTCTCTCTCTCTCTCTCTTTCTCTCCCTCGGTGGTATTTATTTACAGGTCTGAATATTCTTTGGTGCAGTCCCTCCCAGTTGATCCCTTTCCGTGCATGTGCACACGTCTGCAGATTTCACATTTACTCATCTATCTGCAGCAGTTTAATGGGACTCCAGTATGGGTAATGCAGTTTAATTAATGGGCCGATCCACTCAATGTAAGTTGTGTGATTGCGTGCACGTGTATGACTGTGAGTCCTACATGGCTCAGTAAATCCCTCCAGTCCTACTGCTTTGCTTTCCCCATGACAACAGTGAGTCATTTTTCCCGTGGCTTGCAAACACACACACACTTATGCACACACACATTTAAACACACACACTCACACAGACATGGCCACAATCTGTGTGCAAATACAGTCTTTGAATGTGCTTACAGTAAGCAGCTGAACAACCAAATAACCTTGTTCTCTGACACACAATCTGAAAGCAACACTTTTCTTATTCTGCATGTGTGTGTGTTTAAGATGTCTGGGTCTATGCTAATATGCTTTTTTTTTCCATTAAGCTGACACACATATGAAATGATTCATTAATAATTCCACATTCATTCATTTTCTGACCTGAAACATTCAGTGAGGGAATTTAATGAGACAATTGTGTCAGAATGGCCTACATGTTCAATATGACTGCACTAAAATGATCCACAGATGACTCCAACTTCAAAAGCTGCACACCGCTGTGAGGAGTGCTTTTATGACTAATCACACCTAACTACAGAAGCAGCCTGTGGAGTGCCCTACTTTTTTTATTTAGCTGTGATCTTATGTAAAGGCTTTAAAATGGGACAAGTCATGTTAACAACAAAAAATAGTCCCCGAATCTATCTAAAGCTGCTTGTCTATACATTTCTGTGCAATACAAGCCAAGACTTTGTAAGTAGATGAGCAAATATGGACGACAATTCAATACGGGGAGCCAAATGTTTTTAAGGGGAGCCAAATGTTTTATATTTTCTTTTGACACCTCTTTAACAGCTTTAAATGATTTTCAAATTTTAAAAAAGACTCAAATTTCTCACAGTGATGTAATAAAATATTATTTTAGCCTTTGTCTGAAACACTTCGTTTTGGCTACTGTTTACTCTCTACGTGTTTACTTTCTTCTGATTGGCCACTCGTCTGGAGGCTTTCCTGAAGCCGGCTGTGGGCAGAGCTCATTGTTTTGGCCCTGCTTCCTCTATTGTAGTCGATCAGTTGATAGCAGCGTTACCACCATTAACATCATATATGTATATATAAATATATGTGTTTTATGGTTTTGGTTACCCCACTCCGCTGTGGGTGTCACCTAACATGCAGTTGGCATTGGGCTGTTTTGCTTTACCAGAAGCAAATGAACAAGTAAGGACAGTCTGTAATTCTTCTGTCAGAATTTTAGTAGACCTTGTACATGAACTACAGTCTCGGATTTTCACGTGTTTGTCCGAGTTTTGAGTAGTTTACATCTACTTTTTAAGATTATGACAACATACATTTACCTTGTGATTTAAAACTTTGCATACATGTAGACAGAAAACCTTGAAATGGTAAGCCAGATCTTCATATACCACAGTCAACACACTCAGTACTCCAGTGGATTACTGGAGAACCTCTCTGATCTTTTACTTCCGAATCGAGAATCTTACTTCAACAGTCTGTAGTTATTAACCACTGAGTAATTTTTCTACTAGGATGGATGAACGCTTTAATAACAGAGCAGAACAACAGAGGAGTAGAGGGAGAAACCTGGCGGCACCAACATGTGACTTGGAAGACCACCATCTCCAGTTGGAGCCTGTCCAGGACAAAAAGTTATCTATGCTCATGTCTGAAAATGCTCTTCTTAAAGAGCAACTTCAGGATGCGAAGAACAAGCAGCGCCAAAGTTACCGCCACTAACTTGCTACAGAGAAGAGGGTCTCTGAGCTCAAGAAACAGCTGGACTCAGCTCAGTTTGAGCTTCTTAATGCACAAAATAATCTTTAGCTTTTGAGCTAAAGATTAAGATGGACAAGCAGAGACCCAAGCAGAATAACAGCACTGCTCCAAAAGTCCAAACAGCCGAGCAGTGCACACAGACTGAGGACAAAACTACCTCAGAGCTGATTGAGGAGCTGCAGACAGCACATGAAGATCTACAACAGTGGACCACAAAACTCCAGTCCAGTGAGGAGCAGGAGGAGGAAGGTGAGCAGGAGCAGGGAGAGAGGGTCCAAGTCCCGGTCCTGAAAGGTGGAATCTTTAACCTCAGTGTCAAGCTGCAGCAGGAACAAGCCACAAGAACTGTCAGCTGCACCACTGAGGAGGAGAGCTCCAGCCACGCTGCCCAAAACAAGGAGGTTGAGGAGATCAACCTTAAATTCCAGACACTCCAGCAGGATCTGCTCAAGCAAGCCCTGAGCTTGAAGACAGCAGTGAAACCCAGACAACCTCCAATTAAATATGTCTGGGTCAGAACTCACCGAGACATGCAGCAGCACACAGACCTGCTGGATAAGGAGGACATCCAGAAAATGAAGACCTCCTTCACACAGCTCAGGTACTTCTCAGGTAATATTGACCCATCATTTGGTGTCACAAAACAATGATGGAAAAAAATCCCCTTTAATCAGAAGAAACCATTTGAAGCCAAATCCAAATCCCACCCTTCACTGCTGAGCAGAAATTAATGCATGCGCTCAATGTAATAATCACAGCACATTTGGATCTTGAAGCATTTCTGTAACTACAGCTGACCTCTTCTGACACCGAGACAGCTGGCATGCTTTCGGACTGCAAAAATAAAGAGCGAGACGGATGGATGAAGGCCCAGAGGGAGGACAGACTCTGAGGTCATGCAGGGGGCACAGAAAGAAGTGTGCTTAGTGTGTGAGCAAGGGTGTGCATGGCTGAATGATTAATACATGGAAGGAGAGAAGGGGAGGGAAAATATGACCTCTATCTGGACATGCAGCTGATAACTAACTAGGGGGTGAGCTGCTTGGCTAACAAGCTGGCTCAACTCACACTTCAAGGCGTGCATGATGGGAAACAAGGAAATATCTTCAGGTGGGAGTGGTGGGGTACACATGGTGCATGTTGATATTGCCTGAGTGCATTTGACCCGACAGGAAATGACTCATTATTGCACTGCTTTTGCGAAACCGCAAAGACAATTGGTATGCACACAAACAAACACACACTGTCACGTTCACTTGTGTATCCTTTAGACTGCTGCACACAAAACACAAACATGGACACAGAGCTGAGCAATACTAGGTCAAGCTGTCTGTGCATCATTAAAAATGGATAACCATTTGACTTGCTGAGCTGGTGTGTGTCTATGTGTGTGTCTGTGTGTGTTTGTGTAACTATGAAGAGCTTTTATTGGCCTTCCACTAAGGAAATAAGAAAAGCCCTCACTCCCTGATCCATTTTGGGTGAGTCATTGCCAGGTATGAACAGAGGATTAGACTAATGTGTGGGTGAGAGAGTGTGTGTGTGCGTGAAGGATGGTGGTGGTGGTGGGTTAGTAAGTAAGTGGGTGATGGAGGTTTGAGTGTATTTGGATTAGACTAATCTTTATAAAACAGTTATTAAAAGGCAGTAGAGGAGGGAAACCTGAGAATTCAATACAGGTGGAGGATAAACTGTTAATGTATCCATCAGAGTCTGCGGTTTCTTACCAATGAGGCTGGGCAGAAATAAAGAAGTATACTGGGTTACTATTAAGGATTGACCGATATGATTTATTTAGGGCTGATACTGATACCGATTATTACTAATCAAGGAAACTGATAACCAATATTTTGAACCGAACCGAATATCGAACCGATATTCATTTGCAGTAAAAATATATATTTTAGAGTCAAAATTTTTGATAACACACCTGAGATCAGACTGAACATGTGTGTACGGTCTGATCTTAGGTGTGTTATCAAAAACAGTATGCACTATATATGTATGCATACTGCAGGACATTGTTTGTTTGTGAAGGGATCTTACAGCAGCATTTATGATGAATTCTAACTGTAACTAACAAGACGCTTGAGTGTTGATTGGCTGTCTGTGTAGCCAATCAGTAGGGACTGAAGGCGGGACATTGTTGCCCAGCCAAGAGTGGCAACTTTGAGCAGAGGGAGGCGGCTATTTAAGAGCCGAACAAGCGCGTTTCAAAATAAACTTATTTTATCGGGTATCGATCGGAAAAATGGCAGATGTAAATGTTTGTAAAAACGCTGAATATTGGCCGAGATTATCGGCTGTATTGATAACTGGTCCATCCTTAGTTACAATAATGATCCAGAGTCTGATTTAACTTTATAATGTTGTAAAAGGGAGAGAGAGAGACAGAACACAGAAGCCAAACGATAACCAGCAGTCTAATCTTAAATTTCAATACAATCATTTGAGATTATGATCTCCCTTGTGCTGTGATAGCTGTAGATGAGCAACACTTTGTTTCTAGCCGGTCATCCATCCATCAGCTTGAACTAAAACAGAAAACTTTCATAAACTAAATCAAAAATCCACAATCAAAGAAAGGACTGATCAGTGCATTATTTTTATCCCACCATTTGGGTTGTTTGTGTCTTTAACAGGCTCAAATTGCACTATGACATTTGCATCACCATCCTGTCTTTTCATTGACTTTACATGTAATTCAGTTATTTTAATATGAGGTTTAACAGTTTTTTTTCTCAGAAGCAGTTGCTGCAAGATGTCAGTCTAACATTCGACAAAAGTCATTTTGCCACTTTGGAACTTTAATAGCATATTTTAACCGAGTATGGTAATACGTTAAAAAGCATATTTGATGAGACAATCGGCACTTTGATCAACTCTAAAGCATCAAAAATGATGAGACAGTCCAGAGCCCAGTTATGGACTGCTGTAAAACTGTGATGCAGTACTTTTTATTCCTGCACTGGTCCATCAGTTCTCCCACAGGTGTGGTCATTACACTTTTAAAGTCAGAGAATGAACAAATATGGAAAGAGTGGCTGATATTAGTTTGTTTCTAAACTTGGAGTACGGACCTTTCCTCAGTATTACCACTCTTATCTGTGTGCATTTCACGTCCCTTACCTTAGTGGATTTGCAGGAACAGCACAGCAGCATTGAACTGGTGAGACAGTCAAGGCTGTATAATCCAATTAAGGTAAGAAATACAGATTCCACACAAGTAAAAATGGCCAGAGGATGAAATGTTGTTTACCAAATGTGAAGGGTTGGTGTGATCTTGATACCACTGTCTTAAAAAGCGTTGACATAGTTAAAAGGTAATGACTTTTTGTTGACTGGAAGCAGACTGAAATGCAATACTCTGAAAAGATAACCGAGGTCCACCTCAAGAACTGAAACTCTAATTGTCTCTCTTTTACACTCTTGGCTAAAGGTCAACCCCACTGTGCCATCAGAACTTCCCTGAGAACATTCATCCTGTCTCATTTGCCCACAGTAGTCTTGAGGAAAGGATTTTTTTAGATCATCTTAAGATATCATTTTGCAAAAGGAAAGACTTTTTTTTATTTATTTTGATGGTCAAAAATCAAAGTCTTAGGCTCATGTGAGCTTCTTTAAAAATGACAGAAAATATACAGCTGTTTTTTTTCTGGGAGCTGTAGGGACAGAAGTGAGCACAGATCTGGATGATTTTTATCTAGGGCCAAATATAAATGGAAATGGAGGCCTCTGCAGCTTTCTCCTCACCCTTTAGTAAATGGGGTCCTTCTTCTGCCAGTTGAGCTACTTTGCACCCTTTTGCAACACCTCAATTACTTGATTTTTTACAATGAAGAAAAGGCCCTTTATATCTGTTAAAGCTGAATTTAAAAACTACTTTGATGGCTTTTGTTTAGTCCATTTGACAAAACAATCTGCATCCAGGTGGCTCGTATCTAATCTAATCCTGTCCTGCCAAACACTCTTAAATTAACCCTCCATACCCTGGTGATATTACAAATTTCATTTGAATTTTGCTCACAAAATGACTCTCCAATTATCCAAAGCTTTAACTGGTTCTTTTGCCAGCCATGCAAAGATGGCAGGTTCTTCAAAGACACAGGCTGAATCAGCCATTTTCCCCTCAGTGGGTTTGGCTCTGAGGAGAGGAGCTGCTTTCCCTATTAAAGTGGCTTTACATATTTCTGATTATCAGGGATAATTCTATATGAAACCTGTCTGTTTTTAAATTACCATCAAAATTATAATTAGACCTCTGTGGTGTTTAAAAAAATCAATATTCACAGCTTATTTACTTTTACAATCGTTCATTTTTGGCTGAATAACCACGGCTGATCCGTGTCCTTGGCCCACGGTTTGAAACTGTTTTTTTTATTAAACAGCCATGGGGGAAGACGGCAAAGACATCTATTAAAACTGTAATCCAAATAAATCCTGAGTCTTTATTCCTGCTAATAATTTCACTTTCTCCCCAATGTTCTATTTTCTGTCAATTTCCTACTGACTAGAAGGGCAAAAATATCTTAAAAAACAAACCAGGAAGCAAAAGGAGAATAAAAGGTGCAAGATTTGAGCAGAGAGAAACAGACAGTGAAAACAAGAAACCAGTAAAATCCCTTTCGAGGCCAAACTATGTCTGCAGGCAGCAGAGGGGTCATGCATCCCTCAGCTAAATTTAAATCAAACAGAGATGTATTCAAGTAGAAATCAGAGTCCAAATCAAGAAAAAACTGCAGCTCACACACACTGCACAGAAAGGATGTGGGCGTTTGCTACGGAGAGGCTGATATAAAGCAGAGCAGAGGAAGAGAAATTGGGAGAGGAGAGAAATCTCCTTTCTGTCATAACAGTTTTGACAAATCCAGGCCTTCAAAAAATGTCCTGAACAAAGAAGTTGTTCATCATCTGAGAGAAAAACCAGATAGGTAATATGAAAGTATGAGTAGGGCTGTCATAAAAGTAAAACTCTAATCTAACAAAGGGCTTATGTAGCATTAACTCGATCTTCACAGGGCAAACGCTGGGTGTTTTCTCCCATCACTGCCATTTTCTGCTGCCAGTTTGGACAGCAGAACCAATTACATCAAGCAATATAACCCTGAGGCTGAACATATGGACACGTCAACACTGTTTTATCATGTTAACCTGTCCTTAAATGCAACATTTTTCCTAATGCATACCAGCACCCCTCATCCAATTAAGAGCTTAATGCTGATTGGCAGAAAAAAGGGAACAGATGACAGAACAACATGGTTAATTGGATCAGGTATGCAATTCGATCCCACCTTTCAGTCTCTTCATTATTTTATTAAAACCCAGAGGAGTCAAATTGGATGAAACAGTTCATGTAGTGCTGGAGTGTCTACTGGGGTTCAAATCCACAGAGGGATAATCCCCAAAATATACATATCGAAAATTCAACCCCAAATAATGGAGAACTAACTGCATCAACAAGCAGAAATTGCTCCTTTAAAAATTCAATGAAAATATAGCTGACGTTAATAAGTCAGTGGTTGAGCCAGCATTGTCTTGTTTGCCAGAGCTGAGTGACTTAAGGTTTGAGCCATCTTTTACACAACTTCATACATTCATATTTGTGATAGGTAATAGTGCAAACTACTAGCGAGTATGAGGCAAATTTCCA